ATGAACTTTTCTTTGTTATTGTCCCTGCTGTCATGTCATGTCTCTATGATGAAAAGATGCCAGAACACACGTCATCTCTTCCTGGTGCCACAAAGGTCAAAGAAATCCTAGAAGGCCACAAAAATTGGTGCAAGTCAGAGTTTATAATGGAGGTTGAGATCTTTAGAGCTATAGCAAATCTTCTCAGAGCAGAAAACTTATTACGCGACACACGCGGTGTTAAGATTGAGGAGCAATTAGGAATGTTTTTGTTCATGCTCTCCCATAATGCTAGCATTGAAACGCTGAAGAAAGCATTCCAACACAGCGGTGAGACAATTCATAGGAAAGTCAATGAGGTCTTCGATATAATTCCAACATTGACTCATAGATTCATCAAGCTTCCAAATCCAAACCAAACACATGCCAAGATTTTATCAAACCCTCGGTTCATGCCGTTCTTCCAGGTTAGTCATATATGCTACTTGCCCTTGTATCATTCCAAACACACTATTCCAACAATCTTAGGTTCCTTTTTACGTGCAGAACTACATTGGCGCCATTGATGGGACACATATCCCTATTACTATCAATGAAGATAAGGCCCCTCCTTTTAGAAATAGAAAAAGGACATTGTCCTAGAATGTTATGTTCGCTTGTGACTTTGATCTCAAATTCACTTTCATCTCTTGTGGGTGGGAAGGATCTGCGTCTGATGCAAGAGTCCTATGTTCTGCTCTTACGAAGGGGTTTCATGTACCGCCAGGGAAATTCTACCTTGTAGATGGCGGATATGCTTACACTCCATCATTCATAGCACCGTACCGAGGAGTTAGGTACCACCTTGGCGAGTTTAGAAGGCGTGGATCATCGTAGAGAAATGAGTTTGCAAACTACAAGGAGTTGTTTAATCATAGGCATGCACAACTTCAGAATCATATTGAAAGGGCATTTGGGGTGTTGAAAAAACGGTTTCCAATTCTGAAAGTGGGAACACACTATTCAATTGAGACTCAGATCAAGATTCCTGCAGCAGCAGCGGTATTTCACAATATAATTAGAGCGCACAATGGGCAAGATAATTGGCTAGATCACCAACCACAATATATCAATCCAACCACTTTTGTTGATATGCCGGAGGGGGATAACAGTTATCCAAGTGAGATAGAATCGAGTGATGGCAACACATTACGAGATCAAATCGCGCAAGCGATGTGGGCTGCCTATAATAATTAGATGGTAATTTGGAGCATTGTTCATCATTTTCAGCATTTTACCTTACATTTATATTTCTAGAATTTTAGCTTATATTTATCTTTCACCATTTTTCAGCAATGTCAACGTCCTAGGGTACAAGGGCTGCATGGAGCTACACGTATGAGAAAGGGTTGGTGGATGTAATGAAAGAGCATGTCAATATCCCAATGTACTGGGCACAAAATGGCTGGACAACAGATGGTTGGAGAAATATTGCTAAACGGTTCAATGAAACCTTCCCTTTAGCTCATTTTTCAAAACAACAAATGCAAGAGAAGGAGAAGGAGTTGAAAGGAAACAATAGGATAGTTAGAGATGCCAGAAAGAGAGTGGTGCTGGTTGGAATGAGACATTAAGCATGATAATTGCCGAACCAAAGAAATGGGAAGACCTAATTGAGGTTAGTCACTTTCTGTCAATTATATAGTTCTGTGTTTTCACTATTTTAAAAAGCTAACCAAAATGTTGCTTTGTTGCATTTAATAGAAGAATCCCAAAGTCAGTAAGTTCCAAAAGAAGCAACTTCCTCTTTATGAACACCTGGCATCATTGTATGCAGGTAATTTTCCTTTGTTTGCTCATGAATACAGTTTTTGTGGTGTTGTATTCATGAGCTAGCTGTATCGTAAATCTGAATTTTTGTACAAGTGTGCTCTTTATTTTATTCAGCTCATCTGTGCTGCAGTAAGAGTATTCAGAACTGTCATGAATTTTTGTACAAGTGTGCTCTTTATTTTATTCAGCTCATGAGTCTAAAAGAACAACTATGTTTACTTGGTGGTCTGAGGTCAGGGAACCACAATTTTGTCTATCATTATGGCATTACCATTTGTTTGCTCTGTTTCTTAAATGAACATGTGCCTATGGTGCTAAATAACTTTGAATAATACCTAAGAGTGTATCTCTGATGTATATTAATAGGAATTATAGCCACTGGAGATTTGAATTTTACATCAACCGAGCCACCTAACATGACGGCACTACCTCCAATTGAAAGAAGTCACTCTGAGCAAAGTACACAAAACACGACTGCTGGCTCTGATTCTGTTAGCATCAATTTTGGTACAAATCTTTTTTCTCAAATTGAGGGCCCAGAAGTGCAATCTGCACCACCCTATCTCAATCTAGAGGAGCAAGAAAGTGCTAGTGGAAAAAATGCAAGCAAAGTCAAATGGCAGCTAAACTCGGCGAATTCATAGACTTGAGAAAGATCCATATGGAGAAAAATCAGGAAAAACTAGATGAGAAGAAAAAAGAAGATGACTATACTGTAGAAAAGTGCATTGCTGTTGTGGATAGCATAGAAGACCTAACTATTGAGCAGAAGGCAGATGCTAATGAGCTCTTTCAATCTGAGATGAATCGACAGATATTTATGATAACTAAAAGTCCAGTTGTTCGACTAGTTTGGCTAAAGAAAAAAAATTCACAGGTATGTTTGCTTGTCTTAGTTTTCTCCTCTTCTTCTAGCATTAGAGACTGCTGTAGTGTTCATTTGATGTTGTGGATATTTATGATGACCTGAATGTTTATCTGAATGGATGCCTCTAATTTGATCATTGGAGATTGTTGTAGTGTTCATCTACTGTAGTGTTAGAACATGTGTGAATGTTTATCTCCTGAATGAATGAATGCTTATCTACTGTAGTGTTCATCTGCTGAATGACCTACTGAACCTGTATGAATGTTTGTCTGAACGTGACCTGTTGTAGTATTAGAACATGACCTGGAGTGTTAGAGAGAGTATGGCAAGAGTATATGGAAATGCAGTGGTAAATAAATTCAGAGTTCAGATAAGTTGCACTATGTGAAAAAGAAATCCTAAATACTTCTTTTCGTCGGTCGTTTTGCTTTGTTTGGTTTTTTTCTCTGTTCATCTCATTGCTAAGTTACTAATTCCACTTATGTTACATGTTTTTTTCTGTAGAATTAGACCTGAAATGCCTTCCTCCCTCGTCTTGTGTGTTAATCTCTTTGCTGCTAGCACCGGACACAAAGGAGTAGAGGGTAGCTAGCTAAGATTGAATTTTTAATTTGTGTTTGTGTTCCATGATGAATAGAACTGTATTATTTCGACTTTGGAGCTGTACTTTGACAATAGGTGCAGATTCAAGCTTCTTTGAGAACTATCTTGCTTTGTGCTAAATTACCTATGCAATTATGCTGTAATTTTGGAGCTGTAATCTCTATTGGAGCTGTAATTTTGGAGCCGTAATCTCTATTGGAACTGTATTATTACTGCTTGAATTTTGATCTACATTTGAGCTATACTTGTTCACAAATCAATCATGATTTGTATTATTTATGTAGATCTCTTATTTTCCATGTTATCTGACTTTCCTTGATTTTATTTTAAAAAAATTAATGATTTTCGGGGTTTTTTCTGATTTGATGATTACTACTGATGTCTATTATTTTTTTGATTTGTTGTTGATTTTTTTCTGAGTTTTTATCCGATTCTAACAATTCTTGAAGCACTAGCCTGCACCAATAGCCTCAGGCGCACAGCACCAGGCAGCAGAGGCGGAGGGGAGTGAAGCAGGCAGCAGAGGCGGAGGGGGAGTGAAGCCACGGGAGGGAAAACCAAATGAAAAAGGGGTTAGGGGAGGGAAACAACAGGGTTTGATAAGTCCAGTGAAATCCCCCTGAGGGCCTTCTTTCCCTGGGTGTGGCTTCCCTCTGCATCAAAGGAGGCCTGATAGGGAGCCATACCACGGTCTTAGCCTCATGCTTCTCTCGCGTAGGCCTTCAGACCTTACTACCTTAGGCATGGGCTTCTAGGATACAGGACGTTGTCCCCACTATCTAGAGGGAACGGCCATCCTTTTTTTTTCCAATAATCGTGTAGAAATTAAAGACTCTCTTACATTTACTTTTCTTTTAAGATAAAATCTTTCCCTTTTTACTTTCCATACTTACCACTACATAGATCTCCTCCATTTATTACTTTTATGATATTTGGCTAATTTAGGCTTTATATTTTATCTTTTTCTCTAGAATTTTCCTATAATTGTGTACTCCTAATATAATAGAATTGATAAACATAAAATATTTTTGCAAACATATTAACGGTACTACTCTGGTAGTAAATTCTATGACATATAAAGCTTATACTCACAATCAAACTATGAGATCGCATTTGCAAATACAGAGAGGGAATGATAGGACTTATATATAAATTGATACCGGAGTATGAGAACCTTCACACACAACGTGATTTGACAACGGTAACTGTTTTGAGTGTCGTGTTTTGAGTGTTATGGAAAGAGATAGTCATGTGAGTTAGCTATCACGTTACGACACAATATCTTGTGGCTGTTGTAACTTATTTTGGAGAGTTGTGGCTTTCTTCCAGCTGGATGTTATGTGACCTTCTATAACTTTATCGTCAGACATAACGTATGGCAATCTAAAACTGGATAAAAATTTCACCTATGAATTCAATATAGAAGATTTTCTAACTACCACTAAAAAGTACTAAAAAATCAATACTTCTATTAAAAATATAAAACAAAGACTTGTGCTAATACTTTATATTGAACAAAACTATCACTAAAAATACCATGGTTTCACTATTCTAGAGTGGATAGAAGAAATAGAATTCTTTGATGCCGAAAAGCTGAAAAGCCTCGGCTACTGGGCATGCTCACGCTTCCCTGACCACCCCCAGTCCCCCCACGCACAAAACCCATAACCCACCTCCCCCATTGCTCCCCTCGCTCTGCAATGCCGCTCCCATCCCACCACCCCCATTCGGATACTATATGTCAGTGAGGGCCCTGGCGCCCCTCACTGACATCACCCACATCTTCTACGTCACGAGGGCCTCGCGCCACGGCTGGAGCAACGCCGAGGCCCGCGCCGTTAACCACGCCATGCTCTCCAGCGTCCTCTCCGCCGTCGTCCCCAACGCCCCAGATCTCAAACACATCGCGCTCCAGAGCAGCCGCAACCAGTCCGCCGACCCGTTCCAGCCGCCCGTGTGGGGAGCCTTCTCCGAGGACGGGTGGCTCGGCCCCTACTCCGAGGACACCCTCATCGATGGCATCGCCACCCGCGTGGGCGCCGTCACCTGGTCCGTGCACCGCCCCGCCACCATCTTGGGATTCTCGCCGCGGAGCTCCAGGAACTTGGTCTCCAGCCTCTGCGTCTACGCCGCCATCTGCGGCAAGGAGGGTGCCGTCCTACACAGGCTCCTTCACGAGTGGGTCGCCGCCGTGCAAGGGATCTGGGCGGCCATGATGGCGAGCCCTAACGAGGCATTCAACTGTGGCAACGGGGACGTCTTCAAGTGGAAGCAGCTGTGGTCGATGCTGGCCAGCCACTTCGGGGTGCGCTGGGCTGGGTACGAGGGGGAGGACCAGCGCTTCAAGCTAGAGGAGGCCATGGTCGGGAAGGAGCCTGTGTGGGCGGCGATCGTCAAGGAGAATAGGCTCGTGGAGACGGAGCTCGAAGAAGACATCACCACCTGGTGGCTCGTGGATGCCGTGATCAATGCTGACAAGGAACATGTGGAGACCATGAACAAGAGCAAGGAGTTTGGATTCCACAGCTTCTATGATGCTGTCAGGTGCTTCGATACATGTATCAGGAGGATGAAGGCTAGCAGAATTGTTCCCTGATGCCTTTCTTTTGGCTGTCAAAGATAGCCGTTCTCTATGAACCTGGGGAGAGAGCTTTTAAGCATTAAATAATCAACTGATAATAAAGTTTCTGTTTCCGGCAATGTTAGGTGCTCCATCAATCGGCTGTGGCGATTAGACATCGATATTCCTCTATTTGTGCATTCTTGCATTGTCGTCACTCCTTAGCAAGGTTTTAAATAGCCGGCTGAGCCATTTAGCTTTCTATATCCGAAAATAGGCTATAGCGGCAGCGAAGAGCTAACTTGTACATGGAAAAACTTAGCTAAATCCTTCTCAAACAGCTATAGCCGGAGATAGTAGAGGCTATAGCCGAAGATTTAAAACATTGCTCCTTAGTGCTATTTTATACTTCTAGCATCTTTTCTTTCGTAGCAATCTTGCTGGAGACAAATTATCAAACGACAGGGTAATAATGGTGTGGCATCAACATTTTCGAGGGACTATAGCCTTTTCGCATGCACTCCTCAATCTACTTGTGCTCCTTGCCCTAGTATTAATTAGAGGAGATCATAGGTTCGATTCTTGCATCAATTATCACATATATAGACTGTTTGCCTCCAGAAAACTAACCTAACAATATATAGTGTCTTGATTCATGTAGTCACTTGGAGAGCACAATCGATTCAGCTGTAACTGAAAGCATGTTGTCTCAATGTATCTTTCATACTGTTGCAATGTATCTTTCATACTGATTCTTGTTCATGGAATTTTGGAAGTAGGAACGAACTACCCGAATTGCTATGGATTCCAGTTGAACTTCATACTCATTGATCATGCTACAATATTAGATTTGCTTTCTTCTGATGTTTGCAGTCCTTGATATAATCGCAAGGTATTGTCCTCTCTGTCACCTACTATTTAAGTTCATACCTCGTATCTTATCTTATTACAGCTCTCGTGACAACTGTGTGTTGCATCAGTTGCCGCTAAATTATAGCCCCCCATAACCCTTGAGGATAGTGGAAAGCCCTACCACCGTACCATATCAGCAATGGCGGATCCAAGATAAAAGTTTGAGGGGGGAGGGGGGTTTCTCAAAATTGGCCCAAGAAGACGAACAAATGCGTCTTCCTCTTCTTGCCATCGTCTTCAACCTCCAACTCCTTCTAATCTTGCTGGCTAAAATTTCAAGGGGGCTCCATGAGCGCACCCGCAGCTCCACCTAGCCCCGGTGGCAGATCCGCCCCTGCATATCAGAGGTCTTTTCACAGCGAACAATATAAAAAACTTGATAGGTCCAACAAATGTTGCTCCTCACATTTAGTTCTCACAGCTATACTATTATCTTTTTTTTTGAGGGAGCTATGCTATTATCTTTCTTGCATTATAGTATAGACCTGAAAGAAACAAATCTGCTCTAGTGGCCTAGTGCATTGGTAGAATCATGTATTAATATCCTAGTGATGATGATAGGAAACACGTATGTCAGTATGTGCATTGCCACCTGTACGTAGTAGGGGGAAAAGTCTTTTTGATCTCCTCGATTATTGTTGTGGTTCGATTTATCCCTTCAAATTAGAAAATCAGATATTCTGATAAAGTCTATCTAACCCCTTCGAACTATTAGCATTATCTAATATATCTTCCTCATGGCTGATGTGGCACCAAATCAAACTAAGTCGTCTTGCAAACTACCCAAGGAGTAAAAACAATCAGTTTTAGTAGTTGCTGGAGTAAAAAATATCCAGTTTTTTAGTTAAAGCAGATAGATCAAAGGCAAGAGGACATTTTCCTATAGTAGCCTATAAAAAAACATACCACTCTAGCCTCCGTCTGTGCAGTGCCACCCCGAAGGCAAGTGGACCACATGATCGCACTGGCAAGGACAAAACTAGCGTAAAGGTTGAGTGGTGGTCTGTTATTGTTATTGATGGACCTCTATAGCTACACGAAGGAAGATATATTTTTTTTAAAAAAAATAGGAATTTGAGTGAGGACACATCAGCATGGCCCCTACTTAACTAAAAACGTGCTCCAGCAAGGCCTCTACTAGGGCCCCAAAATTTGGACAGGCACCCATATTCACACTCCAGACTCTATCCTTGTTGGCCAACACCCCGGCCCCCATCCTACAGCGCATCCGTTTCCTCTCCTGCACCCATGCGCCGTACGCAACCGCATGCGCAGTCGCCCACACGCCTCTACGCGAGCGCGAGCACGGCTGCGGTGGATCTTGCTCCGACCCCGAGCGCGGCCTCCTCCAGTGGATCTCTCTCCTCCATCCACCTCCCTCTCCTCCATTAGCCTCCCTCTCCAGTGGATCTCTCTCCTCCGTCCGCGCCCCTCTCCAGTGAATCTCGCAGCAGGGCGCGGCCTCCTCCAGTGGCTCCCTCCGACCTCGAGCGCAACCGCCAAATGGGAGCGGGCCTCGGTCGTCCGCCATCGACGGTGTCGCCCTCTGCTCGTGCTCCCTCTATCGTGCCACCCTGCTCGCGCGCGTCAACGCTTTGCTCGCCGCGTCAACGGAAGAAGAAGAAAGAGAGAATGATGAGCGGGTCCCGTTTGTCATTGTGTACAGGAATTGATTTGGGGGTCTAAAGTTTGGATGCTACTGTTGGAGTGGAAGTAAAAAAATTAAACCAACAAAAATATGGGGCAGCACCAAAATAAAAAATAGAGGCCTTAATTTGGGTGCCGAGTTGCTCTGAGTCACCCGGATGACGGGTCGCAATGTCGCGTCCCTGGAACGGACGTCCCAGAACGCGGTTCGGGGACGATGCGGTACATACGACGGGTCGCTGCTTGGAACGTGTCCCAAAGCACATCGGATCGTCAATAGCATGAACACCGTCGTCCATGAACCGGCGTCGAAGCAGAGCTGCAGAGAGCGGCTGCGCGGCGCTGGGGCCGGCCGGACGGGTGCTGGCGGCGGTGCGGCGCTGGGAGCCTGGACCAGGTGCTGGAGGCTGGCGGCGGTGCGTGCCTCTGATGTCCATCGATGAGAGAGTTGGTCTGTTGGGACTCTATCCACGAGATAGTGCGTAAGTTAAATGGGCCTGCAGCCCAAGACAGTGAGGGAATGGATTTGTGCTTTTTTAATTAAATCTATACAGCCAAAAATTATATAGTAGTAAACGTTTATATTGATAACTAGCGTGAGTTCAAGGCGGGCGGGAAAAAAAGGGGAAAAAAAGATGGAACCGGTGTGTATTGTTCCGTAACGGGCATGTACTGTTCCTTTATCGGGGTTTACACTGTTTTATTATCGGGTTGGTGTGTTCCTTATTGGTTGGGCACTGTTCATAGTGGATCCAGTACTGTTTATAGTGGACCCGATACTACTGATCTACAGTGACATGAGTCTTGGGGAAGGCCGGATAAACAGTAATACAGACAAATTTAAAGTTTTATATTATACTAGCAGTAACTCCGCGCGGGCAACAGGAAGCGCGGGGAAGAGGGATGGTACTGTTCCTTATCGGTTCGGGACTGTTCATCGCAGATCCGTTACTGTTTAGTGTGGACCCGATACCTGGTACTGTTGAGTGTGGGCGCGTTGGATGGACAGTAATTGCGATGTGACACCCCTCAAATTTATAGTCTTTTATAGATATATTATATAGATATAGATGATCTCGTACAGTGATTTACGTGGCGTCTAAAAGATATATTGATCTAGAGTATCTTTGGATTATGTATGTCGTCTCAATACTTACGGGTCACGTTCCCATACGAACCAATTGTTTCAAAGAGGTATTAACGATCCACGTTCCACGTATCCATTTCTCGTACCTCTCTTAGGGCCTGTTCGGTTCCCAGGGATTGGTGGCCTGGAACAAATCCTAGCCGGATTACTTGTCTGATCTGTATAACATTTGATGAATTGGAATGATTCCTAAGCTGAATCTGGACTAACCGAACAAAGCCTTACAGAGAACTTTGTGATTGTGGGGCACGTGCCCCCGCTCCTTGTGTACTGGATGGGCCCTGCGCCCTGGCCGTGTGAGTAGAACCAGACCCTAGGTGGCGAGTCCGGCCTCCGCACATGAATTTTTTTTTCATGACCAATCGGATCTTGATGTACCAGTAGGTACCAGAGGAGATCGCTATGATCGTTACTGTATTCGTATCGAAGAGATGCGACAAAGTGTTCGGATCATTATGCAATGTCCTAATCAAATGCCTAGTGGCATGATCAAAGCCGATGATCGTAAGCTACGATGCCTTCCCGGAAAGCAGAAGCAAATGCATCTAACACGCTGCGCTGCCTCTGCCTCTCAGGCTCTTACAATCTCACCCCCACAACCTTTTGCACCTGCACCTACAAAGTCCACGAGTCACTACAATGACCTTGCTAAGAACCAGAGACGCTCACGATTCCTCATCTAGACTAGTAATGTCCCGAGTTGCTAGAGTGACAGACACGGTGATTGCCAAATCAGTCACATGAAAAAAGAGTAACGTTCCATCGACAATTTTTACGTTTTAGCCTCACTATCTGCAGTGAACTGACAAGATTCTTTCTCATATCTTAAACCGGTCACACTATCTCCACGGGATCCTCTTTTCCTTTTCTTTTAAAATTTGCTACAGGGGATTAAGAAAACAAAGTTCTAGCTCTGCGCGAGTAGATGCTGGTTCTGATTTTTGATTAATCGCACTAGTGTCCATGCAGCATGCCCTTGCAAGACGGAAACCTTCCTCTGCATTTGTCCCCTTCTCTTTTTTGGCAGAATTGGTATTCTGACGCATTAAACTTGCATGGTTCTGGATGACACCATGGTTCTGCAAGCTCTCTGTATTGACTATTCAGAACTTCACACTCGTTTTTTTTTTCACGCTATGATATGAAATTTAGTTTCCTGTACCGTGTGCAATTTTCAGCACACGTTCAGCCTTTTCTCTTCATTTCCTATTTAAGTTCATAAATATTGCTGTGTGCATTGTGCAATGGTTTCTGAAGCTCTGGGGTGATATTTGGTGGTAGGCTTGGCTCAAATAATGGATTGTGTGTTGAGCAAGGGCTCAGATTATTTTTGCAATGATTGGGCATATGGTTGCCTTTATTTTCTTGGATGTCTGAAAAATAACATCTGGTGATTCTGCCCCTGTCTGCACAGCAAACTGCAGAAGCAAGATTGATCGTGAATGTGCATGAGTATATTGTTTGACATGATCATGATCTGATTGTCCTGCTCATGTCAGGTAGCTGCAATTTACATGCTAATACAATCTTTTGGGTCAGTTGCTGCTAGAGCTAGATGACAACCCCACACGCAACTTCATCTCCGTCTGTAACTGCAATTCTTTGCTCTCTCGCTGCAGGTGCCGGAGAAGATTTTCTTTCAGTTCTGTATGCAGTAGCCCTTCTTCATGCCGCACTCAGCCAAGTTTTTTTTTTTTACATAAGTTCAGTCAAAATTTATTTGTAGTTGTAGGTCACATCGGTTGTAAACATGTCCTTGAGGTTGAGGAGATGTACATGGTCTTAAGTATGACACGTGCATGTGTGTATCTATCTAGAACTTGTGGCCATGCAAAGGCGCATGTTGGTGCCATCCCGCCGGAAAATGACTAATGGACAATGGTCCACGATTCCGACCAGTCCACAATGTACAGCTAGCTCCATCCCTACATCTACGTAGCTTCTTCGCTCTTCAAAGTTAAAAAAGAAAATGCCAAAAAAACAAAAAGCACCACGCACCAAGCAGCCCCGACCAAGATCGCGGCGCCATCATGCAGCTCAAGAATCGCCGCCGCGAAGCCGTGACGACGACAGTGTTGGTGCCATCGGGCCGGACCTGACATGGCCCACGATTCGGATTTCGGACCAGTCCACAATGCACAGCTAGCTCCTTCCCTACATAAGGATACGTCCTCCTAACAGACCCAGAAAGCATTACACCAAGCAATCTCAAACGAGACAAGGCCATCATGGAGCTGACGCGTCCTCGCGATTCCGTGGCTATGCTCCTCGCCGTCCTCGTCGTCTCGGCGGCCGTGGTGCGCTCCGACGGCGCCCTCTGCGACAAGTCCGACAAGGCAGCCTTGCTCGCCGTGAAGTCGGCGCTGGGCAACCCTCCGGCGCTCTCCGGCTGGAACTCCACCGTCGCCTGCTGCTCCTGGGAGGGCATCTCCTGCAACGCCACCACGGGCCGGGTCACCGAGCTGACCGTCTTCGCGCTCAACATCTCGGCGCCGGTTCCGGACGCCATCGCCAACCTCACCGCGCTGCAGACCGTCAACTTCGCCTACAACCGCCTCTACGGCAGCATCCCGGCGTTCCTGGGCCCGCACGCGCTCCCGGACCTCACCTTCCTCCGGCTCGACGGCAACCGCGTCACCGGCACCATCCCGCCCACGGCCACCGTCTTCGCCCTCAGCCTCGTGGGCAACCGCCTCACGGGGCCGCTCCCGGCCACCTTCGGCAGCGCCAACTTCGGCGACGTGGACCTCACCGACAACCAGTTGACGGGCGACGCGTCGATGCTGTTCGGCGCCAAGAAGCAGCTGAACGCGCTGCACCTGTCGCGCAACCGGTTCAAGTTCGACCTCGGCCGCGTGGAGCTGCCGGAGGCGATGGACATCCTGGAGATCGACCACAACTTGGTGTACGGGAGCATCCCTGCGGCCGCGGCGGCGAGGAAGTGGCTGGCGTTCGACGTCAGCTACAACCAGCTGTGCGGGCCCATACCGCAGGGGCGGTACACGCACAGGTTTGGGGCCAAGCACTTCGCCGGCAACAAATGCCTCTGCGACCGCCCGCTCCCGCCGTGCAAGAGCTAGATGACCGGCCACCGTGCCAGATTGCCAGTACCCAGTGGTTCTTTGCAGTAATAATGTTTTTGTGCTTCTGCACTTATCTGCACTCTGTTTGAACTTACTGTAAGCTGATGGTAGACCATTAATATATGATGACTACAATGACTACATTTATAAATAATAATGGAATCCCTCAATTAGAGGGGTGCTTAATAATTAGTCATATTGGCTTATGATTTGGTTCAAACAAATATTGGCTTACGATAAGCAGGACAGAAATAAGTAAGATAACTTTTTTTAGCAAAAAAATGCGTAAGACAACTGACAACGGCATCCCAGTGTCACGACTCACGAGTGTCCAAATTGCATCCTGTTTGGGCCGCGCATTCGGTTTCTGATTCAATTGTCTCTCACCATCAGTTGGCAATTGGCATCTCAAGCTGGTTAGGGGACTTGTTTATGTACTTTCGGTGTAGGTGGGCCATGGGCTGTTCACAAACAACTGGGCTTTTGGTCTTTCTGTCGGCGAAGAACTCTGGGCTGTGACTAGTCCTGCAAGATGTGGCTGCGCCTGGATATATTTTTTAGATAATGGAAAATTTCCGGCATCCTTTTCTTAGAAAAGAAGCATGGGTCTAAACTTATTACAGCAGCAGTACAAACTTATTACTGCAGGGCACTCATAATTAAAACTTATTACAGGTTCAGAACTAAAGTTCAAGAAGATAAATGAAGAACCATCCATTGGATGCGAAGAACTCCATGGCTCTTGATTCTAGTACCTCGTAAGCATCAAGAATATGTTCCTTGCCATCATCCGAGCGCTGCAATAGAGCCCAAAATCGTAACCAGTGTGTCCTCCTAAAAAGAACCTGCAAAATAGTTTTTTTGTAATCACTGCAAACCCAAAATGATCTTGAGGAGATGATCTCAACCTTTTTTTTTTTCTGCCAGGGTCCTCAACACTAGAAGATCAGCGAACTCGGTAGCCCACTTATGCGCGCAACACGCCTCGTCTTCTTTACGTACCTTTGTTTGGTTTGCTCTGCCTAGCTTCTTGCAGTAGTGTCTACAGTTTGATTGTAATAGCTCTATTTAAGCAGTGAAGCGATGGCCTCCACTGACAGAGAAAAATGTGTATTATCTGTCGGGTGTGCAAAACCGACGGAAATATTGCGTAGCGACAGGATAACTAAAAGATAATCTATCCACACTTGTGGAAACGTTTCTAAAGTAATCCACCTTTTTTTTCTCCGCCATAATTAATTTGGTAGCAGCTTTATTTTGGTGGCAAGCATGTTTTGTCTGAATGTTATCTTGGGTATTTAAACATTTTAATTAGTCGTGCAATTTATGTCCTCGGTAGAAAAATAACAGTTAATTCTATCCATGTAACCTAGGTAATTGATTGATTGAGGGGTATCACGGTTATTTTTCTTCATCCTTAACTTATCTGGAAAATGTTAGGTTTGTGGAGGAGAAGCTGGTTTATCTAGTTATTATATTAGGTAGGTACGAGGTATCTCAAAAAAAAATTCCGAACCCAGCCCCAAACACAGACCATGATAAAAAATGAAGAAGTAGCGACAAAACTAAAAAGACAAGTTTATTATATTCACCACGCAAACACAAAACCAAAATCCAATTAAAAGAATGAAGGTAGGAGAAACTCTACATTCCTCATCAAATTCAAAAGGAAACTCTAAATCGTTAAACTAAGGTCCAAGGACGGACCGGACAGCCTCCTCTTCTTGAGCGGCAAGGGGCCCTGCACCTCTTCCTCCTCTCCCCACCTTGTTGCAGCGTTGGCCGTCGCCGCCGGCGCCGGCACTAAATTCAGATCAAAGCCCCTAACGTTCGACCCGGACCCCAATGGCGCCGACTCGGTGAGCGACACCGAGAGCCCGTCCCAGTAATGGCACCTCTTGTGCCCGCCGAGCGCCTGCCCCGTCGCGAAGCTCCGATGGCACACCGAGCACCTGTGCCTCCCCTGCCCGCTGCTGCCGCCGGCCGACGAGGTCGTTATCACCGACGACGACGACGCGCCTCCTGCTGACGACGACGCCTGTGCCTGTACGGGCGTCGGTTTCCGGTGGCTGGCCTTGTGCCCGCCCAGCGCCTGGTGCGACGCGAAGGCCTTGCCACAGACGGAGCACCGGAAACGGAGCTCGCACTCTTGCGCCGTCGCCGTCGTCCAGGCAGCCGTGTTCAGGCCGTACTGCGTCGTTAAACCTGCAGCTTCTCCACCGCCTCCTGCGGCTGCGAGCGCCATGAGGCAGAGGGAGACGTAGTCGTCGTGGGTGATGGCCATCGATCGATCACACGGCGAGGCTTTGTTGAAAAGCTAATGCTGGTTAGGTTTCTGATGCTGGCTTAGCAGGTTCGATGAGCTAACCGCATAGTAAGCGTCTGTATATATATGTACAAATGCTGGGCCAAGCTAGGGGGCAAGTGGTGTTTTTATATGATATATATGATGGATCGAGGAATGGGTGGCCGAAAAGTTGAGAAGATGGGTCAAATTAGCACGAGGGCGGACTTAATCGATATGGATATGCATGCATCCGTACTAGAGTGAATATATTAGGGGTCTAGGGTGCAATTGGCACACGTGCATGCATGGATTATGGATATACTTCATATTGAGCTTATATATTGGCCATGCATGCATTTTTCATATGCTATTGGCACGGACTTTGTTTGTTATATATCACATCGCGATAGGAAATTGCGCATTAGTTTCCTTCCACACTTCCACAGCCACAAGTTCTAGGTATTCTCAGAATGCCCTAATTTCTTATTCGTCTTCTCCAAAGTGTTCCTCCTATTTTGGCAGCCAAGAGCAAGAAGCTGGATAAAATGCTCTTTCTAGTGACCCATACAAACGGTTGACTACATCTTTGCTGTCTGACTGCTAATAATTCTTGTATGTAGTTGAAGTACAAACCACAACATTTATGTACTATGTTTCATAGCAAATCAACTAATACCTAATATAAATATCTTACTATATATTACTATTGGATGTTTCTTCGGGAATATTCATGTTAATCCTATTTAACGCTGGGCACTAGAAAGAGAGATAAATCATACAAATTCTAAAAAAAGGGAGCATCCGATCATTTATCCATCATAGTATTATCATAACTAGAGGATATATTATTTTTCGTAAAAAAAATTCCAAACTTTTCCGTTATGAGAAGAAATATATTAATGCAACCCCAAAAATTTGTATCTAAATTTCCCACGGCTAGAACTAGGAAAGAACATAAAGTGGCCTTGAAAATTTATATCTAAATTACACATGTATCTCGACCTGTGGCCGCCTCGGCTAAGCCTCGCCGTGGCCCAACGTAGCCTCCGCACATCCGAAAGATCCCCGCAAAGCTCCGCAACAGATGTTTCAACTGTCTTTCCTACTCGCATCGAGTAGTGAATTGCTGGTTGCCATGACGTTGTCTGCGCTGTCACGGCTTCCGCTACCTCACCAGGGACCGCAAGCGGCCCAGGCGTTCTGCGAGGTCGATGGTGAAGGGTGGAGACTTGCCACGACACTCTACTCAGGGCGACACCCCACCGGCCTCGCCCCACGACGGTCCACCATGGTCGGACGGGGCCACGCAGGGTGCACGCGGGGGGCGTCGGGGGAATCCGGCGACGACGCTGGTGGTGCCGGAGTAAGCCAGCGAGGGACACCAGCATGGTCGCGCCTGCCGACCACACATACAATGGCGCCGTCTCTGCTGCTGTACACTACTTTCCCGAGTCTGACCCGCTGCTGTTGGAGCTGTGTACGAGCGCGGGTGAAAGGTCCTAATGGCTAGAGGGGAGGTGAATAGCCTATAAAAATTTCTACAACAACACTTAAGCCAAGTGGTTAGACAATTATAAAGCGAAGCGAGTGTTGCACTAGCCTACTAAAAATGCAAGCCACATATCCATAATTCTAGTGATTATGGTCTCTAATTCACACAATGGCTAAGTCACTACTCTATAAGTTAGTGAGCTCTCAAAGACTAACGAAAGAACCTCTGTTGACACAAAATGTGACGCACTGTGTCTCACACACAGCAAGCCGGAAAGCGTGACTTCAATCGGGTGCCCGGGTGCTTCGTGATCCGGAAACGTGCCAGTCAGCTTGACCTGAAAAAAAACTAACAAGGGATAAAACAGTTAAATGCCAAACCGGAACATGTCGGGTGAGACCAGACAGTTCCATATATACTGACCCCGAAGTTATTTTACAACGACATACGACTATAGGAAAGTCATGCGCCAACAAGTTTATAAACCATTCGCTAATCGTAAGATGAACACACGTAAAGATCCGATTGCCGAATGCATGTGCATGGGAAGACATGTTTGAACAAGTGAAATTAATTATGCCTTAATGCATAACCAAGCTCAGCAGTCCAGCCGAGTTGGGGTCCATGAAGAAGGAACGTGCAAATAAACACGATTAAACTAATCTAAAACCTGCATCTGCCGCACGACACCTAGTTTCGTCAAAGCTTAAACGTAATTAACATGCATGAACCCACAACATGTGACAATCTAGATTAAAATAATTCAGCCATTATGAGCATGTTATCTATTTGCAAAGGTAATATGAAAGTAATGATCATTGAAGCACGAATAAAACCATAGGAGAGGGCGAACAATATCAATCTAGATTGGGCGTAAGTGTGTTACAAATATATAAAATATTTAAAACATGCAAACACAGGATAACTTAATGAATCTATTTAGATTTTGCCGTATCTAATAGAGCTGATAATTGTCTTGCTTTCACTAAGCATATTGAGCAAACGCCTGCCGCACGGTATCTACTCATAAACAAAGCATAAGCAAAGACTTCTTGATTGTCAAGCAAAGATCCGCCATACGATCATTGAAAACAAACAAGACTACTTGCATCATGTCTAAATCCACCGCATGATACTAAACATGATAACAAGGTTGTCGAACTTACGGAGGTCGACGGATCGATGACTCCTCTCGAAGAACTCGACGACACGACAAAA